TGATGGCAGTAATACTATATTTCAAATGGATGTTGAATTTTTATTGAGTAAATACTGTTAAGCAATTTGAAATTCCATGGAGAAGTTATATTTGGGATAAATCAATTATTCTGTCTGAGTGGTTTATTTCAGCCTAATCAATCTGCATGTATTTATCATCCCGTTCGTCATAAATTTAATTACATAAAAATAACAATCAATTTCTAATTGGTAATGAGATAATTCTATTATAAATATTCTTCATCCACGCACTCGTCATAACTTTGAATCCATTATGTATATTATTACGACTGGGAGTCAATCATTGAGGTAAATTAAATTCGCATAATTAAATTATTCATCTCAAATACGCAGTGCACTCGGAATAAATGATAAATCATTAAATAATTGATAAATTATTAAATCATCTATTTCGATGTCCACGAATAATTTCCACTAAAACATTCACTTGCCTTGACATAATAATCAAAGCCATCAACTCTTCAAAATTTCCTCTAAACAATTCAATTTTTTCTAATTATCCCAATCACCCCCCTCCGCCCCTCCACCCCTCCAAAAGCCCAAAAATTCCTGCCCCACTGTATCCCCAACCGTGAAAAATTGAATGAATTCATTCAACAAAATAAACAATTTCCGAAATAAATTCAAATAACAACTTATGTACATATATATATTAAACATTGATCCGTTTATAATTAATATTATTATTTACATTCAATCAAACGTGAATATCCGGGTACTTGTTCCGTCCCACATCAAATCTTGCACCGAGCCAGTACACAAACCCCTCCGGTATATCAATGCGGAAGGTACACGCTTCTAATACATAGTTCAGTACTCTATCTACATACGTGCCAGCTAACACCGGGGTCCTAACCCCCTAGACTGAGTCCACAGTTTCCACGTTACCCACTCCATTTTAGTCCTTTCGCCAACGGCTTTTCCAGCCCCTCACAGCCTAAACCCGTGGTCTCTCCTTTCCTACCCCCTCGCCATTCCCTTTCCTACCCTTTACTACCGATTCACCATCCCCACACTCACCACCCGTTCACCACCCG